CCGCCCTCCCACCCGGCCGCCAGCCAGCAGTGCTGAGCGCTGAGCCAAGCGTGTTCCTGGTGGGGACCAGCCATGTCCGAGTACGGGAGGTGCCGTCCTGGCTGGGGATGGGCTGCAGGTCCCCAAGGCAAGCATGGGCTTGGGTTGACCATGAGGTAGTTGTCCTCATGGGCAAGGGCGAATGCTGAAGCTCCTAAGGGAGAGGGTGGCCAAGGGGTCTCACCTGCTTCTCTCCTCACCCAGGAGATTGCAGAGCCGCTCTTTGATCTGAAGGTGGGCATGGAGCAGCTGGCCAGAAATCACACCTTCAAGTGCATCCTGGCCACGCTGCTGGCCATGGGCAACTTCTTGAACGGCTCCCAGGTGAGGAGCAGGGTGCGGAGGGACATGGCCTGTCTTGAGTGCTGCAGGGACAGGACCAGCCATGCTGCATGGGTACCCAAGAGGGACCATGCGAAGCCTGGGACAGCGCCTGAGGCTGGATGGTGCTGGTGGGGGCCCAGTGGGTCTGCAGACTGGAGGTCTGCTGGAGGAGGGATGGAGAGGCCCTGCTGAGTCCATTGGTGTTTCAGAGCAGAGGCTTTGAGCTGGGCTACCTGGAGAAGGTCTCCGAAGTGAAGGACACGGTGCACCGGCAGTCCCTGCTCCACCATCTCTGCCAGATGGTGGTAGAGAAGTTCCCAGAAACCACTGACCTCTACTCAGAGATTGCCTCCATCACCCGCTCTGCCAAGGTGAGGCAAGGCAGATGACACCCGGGCAAGGCAAGGGTGTGGGTCCCATGGCTGCCCAGCACCACCAGCACAGCCGAGGGCTGACATCTCACTCTTCCAGGTTGACTTTGATGAGCTGGCCAACAGCCTGGTGCAGCTGGAGCGGAGGTGCAGGGCCTCCTGGGACAACCTGAAGGTGATTGCCAAGCACGAGACCAAGCCGGTGCTGAAGAGCAAGCTGACGGACTTCCTCAAGGACAGCACCCAGCGCATTGTCATCTTGAAAGTGGTGCACAGGCGCATCCTCAACAGGTTGGTGGCTCGAGGTCCTGGGGACGTGGCGGGAACCCCAGGGTCCCATTGGTGGCCTGCTGTGACCAATGGCCCTGCAGGTTTCACTCCTTCCTGCTGTACCTGGGGTACCCGGCGAGTGCAGTGCGGGACGTGAAGGTGACGCCCATCTGCAAGCTGCTGCAGGAGTTCGCCCTGGAGTACCGCACCTGTCGGGAGCGCGTCCTGCAGCAGCAGAAGAAACGGGCTGCCCACCGCGAGCGCAACAAGACCCGGGGACGGCTCATCACCGAGGTACGGGGACACTCGGCTGGCCACCACCACCAGGTGATGCCCTCCAGGGCCCTGACACCAACC